TCCAGAAGTTCCCAGGGCAAGCACCTGAGCCAGCGGTGGGGGCAATGGTCAGGAAGACTTCCAAGAGCAGTAACCTACACAGCTGCAGGATGCAGTCACCCTGGAGAACCTGCTGTAGATGCACATGTGGAAGCATGAATGTTGAAGCTCTGGATGGGGCGTCTCTGCCTTCCACCAAGTCAATGAGACCAACTTGCACAAATTCCCCATAGCCCTAATCCAGTCACTTCCACTAAATGTCCACTGACACATTTATGAGTTTTCTTGGTTTTCTAAGCAGACCAGATGTAAAGAACAGATCTCTGGGACTACTGTCCACTTTCCCCCCAACTAGAACATTCTATGAGATGCTCTAAGTTCAAGGAGACAACATTCTTTCAGTCCAGTTATCATAAGCTTGGTTCTAACCTCAGCAAAAACTGCTTTCTCTCAGCTAATACAGTGCAACAAAACGGGAAATGCCCTAGGAAAACGTGTCAGAGGCTCCTAACCATTGAAAATCAGGCACATTCCCTTTATGACATATTAAATACATTATAAAGTGTGATTAAAAATAGTGCAGACTCCAACACAAGCCATAAGATATACAGTATACTACCCTGAGATATTTACCAAAGTTCCTCTAATAAAGAAAAAAAATTTTTTTTCAACAGAAAAATATATAAAATACACATCTGGAAACACTACATGGTCACTAAAAATGAAAACTGTAAAGACCTCTAAGCTACTAGGAAAAGTAATGCTGACAGTGCTAAGGAAAGCAGATTCCAACAGCAATCATACTGTAAAGGTTAGACAAAGATGAAAGAAACTCTGCAGAAAATGGGGCATGGAGAGTAGGGGAAGCAGAGAAGTGGTTCAGTGCAGCTTACAGTAACATGTTATTGTTTAGCACAATGCAAATTTCACATAAAAGTCATTCCTATGTAAAAGCTTGGTGGATCTTACTCACATTCCCAAACTGACTTTTATAGGCAGTTTATAAAGCATAATCTGGTGCGTTCCTTAAAAAGAACCATGCTAGCTGCTGTTAACTTAACTCCAGCCATTCCAGTTAAAGGGAGGAAGGAACAGGGCAAGTTTCCTGACTCGACAAGGCCCCATGATTCCAGCAGCAAGGGCCAGGCAGAGGCTCTGGGGACAGAATCCTGGCTGAGTAACCTTCCTTACAAATTGCCCTGAGCAAACTAGTCAATTTAGCCTTATCTTTAAAATGCAGATAACACAAACTACTTCACAGAACTACAGTGAGGATTAAATTTGATGACTTTGAAGCACCTAGCACAGCATGACTTTTAAAAGGAAGTGATAGTTTCCATTCCTTGGGGGCAAAAATGGATGGCTCTTAAGGTCTCCTACTCTGCAAACCCAAGGTCCCCCAGGTCCCCATAGCACAGAGCAGGAGCCAGCTAAGCTTTGGCAAAAGCAAAAGAGGAAGGGAGTTCAAGCGTTCAAGCGTGGCCTTCTGGTAGAGTGTGGGGAAAGAAGAGTGTTTTCTGTCTTTGTTCTTCCACCCTACCAATGCCTAGCACATAACAGATGCTCAATTGAGTATGTGATCAGTGGACTAATCAGCAAGCCCTCTGTCCTCAGCTGATGATCAGGAAGGAAAACAGGCAGGAAGCACCATCTATTTATTTGAACTAAAGCTCAGGCCCCTTGCACTGTGAGATGCCGGCAGCTTATTTCTGTGCTGCATACAGGGTGCTAGCATTTACTACTATGGAAGATACATTTTTCTGAGTGTTAACTTCAGTGATATTTACCAAATATGCCTCTGAATGGTCCCATTTCAAAAAAAACTCCAGAAAACACTGCTTTTCATAAACAAAAAGAAAACAAAATGGCCCCAGTAATACTTTCTTATCTCTATCCCCACCTACTTCAAGTAGCCTGTATCTATTCTACTTTAGTGAATAAAGCTGAGTCTTTTCTAAAACAAAACTGTATACTGGAGGTAAAAAATTCTAAACCATAACTTTGAGTAAAGGAAAACTCTCAAGAGCGGTTTAAATGTAATATGCCTGGCTTATTCTATTCCAATGATGTTCTAATCTTTTTTATTAATTTACCCTAATGTTCATAATTGTTTTAGGCCACAATTATCTCACTGTTTCCTGGCCTGTGTACCTGATCAGAATCGTTATGATCTCTGAGGTTTTCTCCTGATTTTTGAGAATCCTGCTCTGCTATGGATGGGGTGGCCAGCAGAACAGAGGCAGACCAACTAAGGAGCCTTTTAAATACAGGACTATTAAAGTAGCAAATCATTGTCCTTTCTGTGACCAGCTTCTGGGGCTCCGTGATTACATGTTAAACAACAGGATCAGATGGGAGTATTTTGTAGCTGAGAGACCAATACCAGAAAAATTCCCCTTTACCCCTTCAACAGTATGTTCCTGCCTATTTACAAGAACATTTAGCATCATTTCCTTCTCAAATGGGCCATCCTGTACTCTGGAGCTAGAAGACAGTACGAGGAGAACACTGACATTCAGTGCCTACCAGTTTCTCTCCTAGGGAGCTGCACTGTTGACAGCTCTTAGTAAGAGATCACACCCTTGCCTTTACGAGGTATTTCTGTCATTTTATATAAAAGCACAAAGACACAGTGGTCAGCACAAGACTACAGCCTGTGGAAAGCATAATCACTGTCAGAGGACATCAAATCCAACACACTGGTGGGATGGCAGGAAAGCAGACTCGAAAGGAGTTCAGAGTAAATGAGTCTCCTTGTTTGCTTGTTACTCATAACATTAGGCCTAAGCTGCTTTGCTGAAACACTTAGCTCTGTGCTTTCCAAGCCATAGAAATTATACTTACTCCAATGTGTGAGACTAAAACTCACTGCACACTGAGCTGAATGACATTCGATGTGCAGCAATGCCACTTCAGGCGGTTCATTACGTTGCTTTATTCATAAGGCTGGGAGACAGGGTGGAACCACACGAATTTAACATCTTGCTGTGCCTGAAATGTTCATTAAGTGCTCTTATCTGCAGTCACCTGCCCACCCGATAGAACCACTCTCCACTAATTTAGAGACAATAATCTGTGCACATTTAAATTACGATGAACAGGAACATTTCCACTGGAAAAATCATCACACATCTTGATTTGCACTGCCAATTAGGTCTTTAGAAAAGGAAAAAAAAAAACCAAAAAACCCCTGATCATCTTACATATAGTAATTTGCCTTAATTGGTGCATAATGGATCGGATATAATTTGTGGGTAACCCCTACATGATAAATAGTTTATTTAACATTTTAGAACTACCAAAAATTAGCCTCATTATATGGCAGTAAACGTTCACTTCCAACTATACATTCTGGGACTTCTGAGTTTCCTAAGCATGAATTATGAATATCAGTGGTGGAAGTACAAAGGACTCTCCAGCCTAACAACAGGAGTGATACATTCCAGAAACATTTTCTGATTACATTCACAAGGAGCTCAGGATAAATTTCAGATACATTTCCTGATTAAACTCACAAGGAGCTCAAATCTCCATCCAGAGGGTTTGTTTTTTGTTTTGTTTTGTTTTGAGTCCTGTAGCAGCAGAAACTCCTAGAAGGTTAGGACACTGGCCGGGAGTGGTGGCTCACGCCTGTAATCCCAGCACTTTGGGAGGCCGAGGCGGGTGGACCACCTAAGGTCAGCAGTTCAAGACCAGCCTGGACAACATTGTGAAACCCTGTCTCTACTTAAAAAAAAAAAAATATATATATATATATAAATAATTGGGCGCGGTGGCGGGCGCCTGTAATCTCAGCTACTCGGGAGGCTGAGGCAGGAAAACTGCTTGAACCTGGGAGGCGGAGGTTGCAGTGAGCGCCATTACACTCCACCCTGGACAAAAGCGAAACTCCGTCTCAAAAAAATAAAAAAAAATTGGATGCTAATTTTTTACGGTATTAAAATTAGCACAGTAATTAAATTTTTTACGGTATTAAAATTAGCACAGTAATTAAATGTTTTACGGTATTAAAATTAGCACGGTAAAAGCTAGTGGCAAAAAATAAAAAATAAAAAATCGAACCCTGTCTCATTCCCTAGGCTTTACTGTTTGTTTCCCTTGCTTTTCAGAGTTTCTCTCACAGGAGGCATTTTAAAAATATTCTCAGAAACATCAACAACAGATTTTTCTCAAACGACCATTTTCAGGAAGGCTTCAGAAACTACTAAAAGGCCAAAGCTACCGTTAGTGGCTCGGTCTTTGCCGCCAGACTCGGGCAGGTGACAGCGGCTTGGGCTCGGGCACCTGGCACTCAGCGCCTTCCAATGCTGGCGGCCCCGCCTCCCCTTCTCCCCGGCCAGGCACGCAGGTGGAGGAAAGTAAACACCAGTCGGAGGCAAAGTGGAAGCAGTGAGTCTAGCGACTCTCACAAAAACAAGTGGAAAAAAAAAAAAAATCCTCGCACAAAGCATCTCTGTACTCACAAGCAGAGGCGTGGCTGCTTGTTTCCCTTTTTAAAGGTTGCATTTTTAGTTCTTTTGAAAAATGTTTTTATTGCTTACTTCTAAGTAAACATTTATCTCCATTACGATAACGTAGAGTAAAGCTCTTTTAAGAGGTAAAAAGAGAAAACTGAAGTCACGTTCACATTCCCACCACTCACTGAAACGTTTGGAGGAACTTACTCAACTGTTTGCTAATGAGTTTTAAAGGATAGTTAGGCCCTTAACGCGTAATTGGGGTCGTGCTGTGCATATGATTTGGGATCTTGCAGCTTGTTTAACTTGGCCCAATGACGTTACCATTTCCCCCAAATGGTTACTAATTCCTTGAGAACGTTTACAAAAGTTCTAGAATAAACACTAAAGTTACTCTTTTTAAACTCCATTATCCAAGTTGGACTGGTCTGGCGATCGACTATTAAAAAAAATAATACAACTTTCTTAAGCTTCCTGATCTCTGTGCCAATTCCCGGAGAAAGTGTGGGGAGTGCACAAAAAAGCCCCTCCCCCGTCTCAGGAGGGCTGCAAACGCAAGCGCTGCGCCCCGCTAGCTCCCCGCCTGCACCCCTGGCAGCCACCCGAGACTGAGCAGAGCGCCAGGCTGAGCGCAGTTCTGTGCTGGGGCGACCGGGCTCTGTGGTCCGCGTGGCACAAACGTGACCCACCGCGCACACCTGCAGGGCGCGCCCACTCCCGCACTCACTCGGCTGGGCGCGCCAGATTCCCAGCAGAGCAGCCAAGGGCCACGTTTCCAGCCCAAGGCCAGCAGGACCGAGTCGCAAAGGGAAGTCAAACTGTCGGTGCTTCCGGACGGCGGCGGACGGCCAGACCCTCACCTGGTAGCGAGTCGCCAACTCCATGCTTCCTGACGGGGCGCCAGTCTCCTCCCAGCACGCGGCCACGGGAGCCCGGACTCGCCACGGCCCGGCGCACCAAGAACGCCCCGCACCCGAGCAGCCAGCGCGCAGCGCCCGGAGCACAGGCGGGCCCCGGGAGGGGCGCACTCGGCGCTCGGGACAGGGGGAGCGCGTCGCGCTGCCCGCTCGGTGCCGCCTCACTGGGCCTCGTGGCTCCGACCACCGTCCCAACTTCGCGGCCACTGACCTTGTCTTCGCAGGCGGCGCGAGAGGGGGCTGCAGTTGGGGGTGGCATGAGCAGTTACCAGTGTTAGGGCGCCGGGTTCCCCCCTGTAGGGGAGGGAGGGAGTGGAGCCGTCCGGCGGGGTTTAGCGCGGGAGAAATGAGGGGGCTGTCCCGGCGCAGCCTCCAGCTGGCACGCGCGCAGGATACTTGGCAGGGTTTATTCCAGGTCATGCCCTAGGGCTCGAGCTTCTGCTGCAACCCCTGTCTCTGATCCAGGAAAATATTGTAGGGCGGTTTTGGGGCTTGTTTTGTTTTGTTGTTGTAAAGGGGCAGCGTTCTCTTTGGGAGGATTCCGTCTCCCAAAACATTTGCTACAGGGTTCACTTTGCAAAACGGGCAACCCAGGTTTCTTTACCAGGGCCCCGGTGGACACTGCAAATCCGCCTGAAACTTTAAACGGCCATTACACAGTAGGCCTCCACACCCACCAAACAGAGTTTGTAGAGGTCAGGAATGCTGATTAATTTAGCAGAATTGACCCCGGCACCTACTAAGCATCAGGCACTGGGTTAGTCCTAGGAACAGAAGGGTGAACAAAAACAGGCCCCTGCTCTGTTGGAGTTTACAGCCTGAGAGCCAGTTACCAACCTAATTGCATTATTCTAAATAAATACAACAATGATGCAAATAAGCGTAATGATAACAATGATGTAAATTTTATAAATTAGATTTATAATTAATATTAATTTGATACCACTAGCAATGACAAATGTAATGATGATGCAAATAAATGTCAATTTGGAGCGATGATGCCATGAGAAAAAAGGCAAGTGGTATTATGGTGGTGTAAAATAGGGAGACAATCTGGGAGAGGTAAGGGAATACTTCTTAGAGCTCAGGTATGAAGAGTGAGGAATTAAGTTTGTGGAAATTGTGCGAGACTTGAAGTAGAGAGTGGGGAGAATGGTAAATGAAGTTGTCCTGAAATCACAGCAGGTTTGCTGGACAGTGTCGAACGCCTATTTAGAACCGTGGTCATGGGTTTACAATAGAGCATCCTGTATGCATAGGACCTTCTGCAGCCCCTCTCAACTGCTTAGGATCTGACGTTCATCTTTATTGAGTGAGTGAATGAAATTTGCTAAACATTTACTCAAGCTTTAAGAGAAAACATGGAAAAGGTTTATTTCCTTTGGTTAGTTCAGCAAACAACATGTGTTATGTGCTCTCATGTTCCAGCCCTCAGTGTTCTTACTTCCTGGTAGTAGTAAGACCAATACAACATTGTCTAACTTAAAATGTTTTATTTTTATTGGATGTTAATTATTCATTGTAGCTACTTCATTTTTATTATGCTTTAGAGTTTTCCTTCTCATGCAGTATCTCTTTGAATCCTCTCAATATCCTTCCAGATTCTTATTGTCCACATTTTTGAAATAAGGAAACAGAATCTAAGAAAATACATTTAAGAGATCCCTGCCACCCTGCCACTAAGTGACAGCAGCAGACTGCCAAACTGAAAACCATTCCTTATTCCTCCAGATCCAACATTCTTTCCCTTTCTTGTAGTTTTTCCCTTTGGCTGCCAGGAAGCTTACAGTGAAAATTAATTCAATCAGAGCTCTTCTTCCTTGTTTTGTGGGGGCTTTTTTTGTTTTTTGTTTTTTGGGGTTTTTTTTAAGATAATTGCTTCCTCAGGAACTGCTGATCTTATTTGCACACCTTTTCGTTGTAGGTTAAATCAAATCCATTTTGGAAAAGGGAGCACAAATTTGAAGCAGGTCAGATTTTGCAAAGCACTTGAAGCAGCGTAGCCTAGCTACTTCTGTATCAGGAAACCTATAAGCTGTTGAGCCTTTCTCTTCAGAAATTTGCTATAACCAGCCCTAAGTCCAGATGACAACCCGGAAATTTTCTTCCTGGGCTTAGCAAAGCCTGTGCACCCTTGATGGTATTTAGTAATTGGTTATATAGTGCTGTGTTTTGTTTTGTTTTGGTCAGGCTTTGGGAAAATCCCTAAGGAACCAGAGGATTTTAACATCACACTGCAGTAATACTTTCTAATAATTATTATTGATAGGGTTCACAGGATGTGAGCACTGGGTTTCATCATGGCACTGCAAGAATGAGTGTCCCTTCCCAGATGCAACAGTGTACGTATTGCAACAGAGAAAAAGAAGACATAATGTTTGCAACTTCCTTTAAGAAGTCTGTCAGAAATCTATGCTTGATTGCTTTTTAAATGTTTCTATGAGAGAGTAAAAACTTGGTCCCCAGTACCTTGAACAAGGTAAGAAATTTGTGATTAGAAGGCAAAGGAGTTAATAATGCCACACTAAAATATGCTGCTCTGGCATATTCACTATTTTAAGTTAAAAGCACTTAAAAGGAAAAAAAAAAAACAGGTACAAGAAGATCACTCTGAACTTAATGTTGTTTCTTAAAAGCAGGCGATAAAATTCCCCTGTGAAAGATGTCCTCCCTACACAAGAAGGAAAGCCACATGCTTATCAAAGACAGGAAACTGAAGCTGAGGGAAATCTGTACAAACAAACCTTGTTAAACTAACCCTTATCTTCTTAGACACTTCTCCATCCAATTAACTACACTAGCCCATGCCCTTTTGCCTTATTGCATTTTCAGTTTACTACTCTGTGCAATTCACTATATAAATGTCCAACTTGAACTTCATCCTGGGGTCTTCATTTCCCTAAGAAGGCACCCATGCCACATAAAACTTCGATTAAACAAATCTATATGCTTTTATCTTGTTCATCTATTTTATGTCAGTTTAATCCTCAGACCCAGCCAGGACTCAAAAGGATGGAGATGAAGTTTTACTCGTAACCCTACAAAGCCATTATTTAACCTCATTAAATGATGTGAGAGAGCTGTGATTGGATGTCAACCCTGGCCCACAATTTTTGCTTTGTAAAAGGAACCCAAACGTCTCTCCTCTATCTGAAGTAGTATCTCTGCCTTCCCCACAGACCTTAGTTGTGGGCAAACTCCCTAGTCCTCCCCACATAACAGAAAATCATGCTGGTTTGGTGCTCTGGACAACTCACCAGAGAATCTACCTTCTGCAGAGAGCTGGAAACAGCATGAGCAACTGAGAGGTAATTTCATTAGGTCTGCCTCCCCTGCTTGCTTTTGGTCATTTGCCTCTTGATGTTGTATCCTTTTCCCATGAAGTTGAAGACTGCAGTTGCTGAACACCGGGCCACTGAACACTGAAACTTAACCCTCACTGGCTACTTTATAGATAATATTCATAGGTCACCATGGTAATTGTTGCTTCCTTTTTTTTTTTTTCCAGAAACTTAGGCCAGCTTCTGTCCAGTTCAAACTGGTTGAGACCACCAATTCTTCAAGTGCCTGAGAGATGTCAGAGGGTCAAAAACTCCAACCTCAGATTATGCTAACACTGCCATTTTTCTGTACACACGTCCCATATAATGCCATGAACTCTGGCTACATTTGTGCAGGATGAGCCTGTTACTTCATTTTTTCCCAGTGCCAATTACATTTCCCCATACCTCAGACCACCCCATTTCCCTAAACCATAAATATCCCTAAGCCTTATCTTCAGGGAGGCTTATTTCAGAGCTATTCTCCCACCTCCTCACTCCATGCCCTTGTGAATAAACCTTTTTTTTCTTTTGCAAAACTCTTGTCACAGTAATTGATTTACTGTTCAGGGCAGAACACACTAGGACCTAGCTGGTAACAGTATCTGAGTACCACTTAGCATTGTATGTGGTCATGAATAAATAAAGTGACGGTTAAACAAGAAAGCATCACTGGTTGTTCTCTAGCTCTTGGTCTCTTGAAACTTCCATCTCATTGTGATTAGATAACACCTACCCTAGAAGGGGGAGACCTCCCTAAATTTGAAACATTCAAATATAAAATTTCCAAGTTGCTAAGAATCAAAGATCTAGAATTGAGTCTTTTGTAAAATCATCATCTAATACTGACTGGGTGCCTTTCTCAAACGTTTTTCTTTATTACTATTACAACCTGGTATTCCATTTTCCTGACTTGGCATGTCAAGATGATGTTGTCACAATCTCACAATGTAAGTACACTCTGATGAAAATTGCCCTATGGCTTATGACAAAATAACCTGGACAATCAATAATCAGATCTGTCCATATATCAGATGCAGAAAAATACATATCATGATGAAACTTTAATGCCTGTGGTCTTTCAAAAAGTCAATAGTAATAGTGATATCAAGAATAGCAGCTAATTTAAAGAGTACTCACCATGCTCTAAGCCCTGCGCTGAATTAACCTTTGAATCTGTTCCCTCCTTGAATCCTTCAACTGAGAGTTCTACATCTTTTCAAAACTAGTGCTGTAAAAGTAAGTAAAACAATATTTTTAAAGTATTTGGGAATTCTTAAAGATGCTATGTAAACTCCAAATACGATTAATGCAACCCATATTACATAGGTTTTTGCAATAGATAGTGCATTATTTATCATTTAGTATGTGAACATAAAACATTATTTTGACTAGGCACTGACAATAAATGAGTGAAAATGAAAACATGTTATTCAATAATTCTTTATGAATTTAGGTCTTATAAAAGAAAATTTTTAATTTCTAATTAGTGGTATCAACAAAAGCACTCTAGTACATAGATTTTAAAGAACTACATTTTTCTTCATAATCATTTAGGCAGTATACTTAAAAATAATTTATAAAATGTCAATATACAGAGTTCAGAATAAATGTATCTATAAAAATGACTTTTAAATTACTTCTTAAATAACAAAAAGTCATAAAATATTTCATTAGTTCAATAGATAAATGCAGGATATTTTAAAAAGCAGTTTTTAATTTCTTTTTTGTCAAGGCTAAAATAACCAACCATATAGTATTTCAGAAACGAAAGTCAGAGTATTAATATTTGTTATAATATTTGGAAAACTTTATTGCTTCAGGTATGGTAAGTAATCTCTATTTGCTAGCCCCAATTCAGTATTTGACAGGCAAAAATAGAAAATCTTGGGTTATAAAATGGAAAATTTGGGATCAGAAATAGAGTAATACTATATCTATATCTATCTATCTATCTATCTATCTATCTATCTATCTATCTATCTATATAGTTTTTCTTTTGAGACGGAGTCTTGCTGTTACCCAGGCTGGAATACAATGGCACGATCTTGGCTGACTGCAACCTCTGCCTCTCACATTCAAGCGATTGTCCTGGCTCAGCCTCCCGAATAGTGGGAATTACAGACATGTCCCACCACACCTGGCTAATTTTTGTGTCTTTAGTAGAGATAGGGTTTCACCATTTTGGCCAGGCTGGTCTCGAACTCCTGACCTCAAGTGATCCACCAGCCTTGGCCTCCCTAAGTGCTGGGATTACAGGCATGAGCCATGGCGCCCGGCCAAGGAATATAGTAATACTAAATTCCTGAGAGAAAAAAAAAACAACTTTCCAGGCTTTGCAGAATTTCCAAAGTTGTTACAGACTTATCCTTCTTGAAATAATCAAGTATTTGTATGCTAGTGATAAGGCTGGATGGCATTTGTGATAACAGAACACGTATGGAAGTGAGGCAGTTATGGGTTTATTTAGTCCTTTTAAGCCTCCAGCTGATTCTAATGAGCAGGCATATTTGAGAATCATTGCTCTAGTATAGCTCAGTGGCTTGCAAAGTGTGGCAAGATCAGCAGCATCCATATCACTTGAGCTATGGTAAGAAATTCACATTCTTGGGCCCCCTTCTGGACCTACTGAATCGGAAACTTTGGGGGTGGAGCCCAGCAATCTGGACTTTAGTCACCATTCTAGTGATTCTTATCCTCACTGAAATTTACAAACCTCTGTAGTTGTAATCCAAGGTGTACTGCTCACCGACCAGGCAATCTAGAGACTAATCATTGAGCTTCATTTTTCTCATCTATAAAATCGGGATACTAGATACCTGCCTGACCCCCTCAACAGTATTCTTCTTTTTGTATGTGTGTGAAGGTTCTCATTTATTTATTTGACAAGTAAAAATTGTATATGTTTATATGTGTACAACATGAGATTTTTGATATATGTGTACATTTTGGCATGGCTAAATCAAGCTATTTAACATATGCATTACTTGGCATAGTTGACACTTTTTGTGAACCTTACAGTCAGCCCTTTTAGCATTTTCAAATACACATATTTTGTTATTAACTGTAGTCACCATGATGTACAAGAACTCTCTTGAACTCATTCCTCCTGTCAAATCTAAATTTTGCATTCTTTGACCAACATCTCCCCAGTCCTCCCACCCCTTTCAACAGTGTTCTTACAAAGATGAACATGTAGTATCAAATGCAATTGTATTTTGAGAAAGCTAGAGTGTTTTACACTTGTAAAGTAGTACTAATAGTTGTAATCCTTCCATGTATTGATCACTAACCATGTTCCAGAACCTGTTGACACATTATACCACTCAGTCATTACCACAAACATGTGTTGTACAGAATACCATCTTTTTTTTTTTTTCATTTCAGATGAAGAAACTGAGGCTTTGAGGGTTTAAAACACTTGCTCAGGGTGACCCAGCAGAGCCAAGTTAGAACTCAGATCTGTGCTACTATCAGGCTATACCCTCTCACATTTTTGCCTTTCTTCAGATAGCCTGAGAGAGAGGGAAAAGAGATTCAAACTTCAATTTTAAAAATGGAGCCTGGGCAACATTGTGAGACCCCCATCTCTCCAAAAGTTTTTTAAAAATTAGCCAGGTGTGGTAACATGCCCTTGTGGTCCCAGCTACTCAGGAGGCTGAGGTAAGTGGATCGCTTGAGCCCTGTAGGTTAAGGCTGCAGTGAGCTGTGATGGCACCACTTCACTCCAGCCTGGGGGACAGAGCAAGACCCTGACTCAAAAATATATATAATTAATTAATTAAAATGGGACTGGGAATGGATACGAGATTATAGCTAGAGAGGAAGAATAAGTTCTATGCGTTCTGTAGCACTGTAGGGTGAATACAGTCAACAGCAATTTATTGTATATGTTTAAAAAGCTGAAGAGAAGGTTTTGAAAGTCCCCAACACGAATAATAAATGTTTGAGGTGATGGATATGCTAAATACCCTGATTTGAGGATTGCACATTGTATAAAATGTATCCAATATCCCTTTGTACCCCATAAATATGTACAATTATTACATGTCAACTAAAAATATTTAAAAGGCTAATGACAACCTAATTTGTCTATCAGGACATGTAGATGTAAACTGTTTAATTCATACACTAGAATACTGTATATCAGTTCGAATGAATAAATTGGTCTACATTTATCAATCCATAAGCATAAATCTCAAAAAGCATTAAATTAAAAGATCAAGTTAATAAACAAAATAATAAAATTAAGGAACTAGGTCCTTTACATACTACCATCCCAACCTGTTTATTTACTGTGCCTAGAATTCTGATACCTTCCCCCTATTTCTTTCTGAAAATGATTATTTATCTGTTTATAGGCCATTTTTAACAGTATTCCTGAATTCTTTTCAAAAGACTTTCTCCACTTCATCACGCACACACCCCTGGCTCTCTTTTCTGCAATCCACAAATAGTCTAGACTTTAATGCTGTAAAATTTGCCCCAGCTGGTTATTCGAATCTGATAATCTGATCATCATGTCTTTAACAGCTTTCAGCTCTGACCTACAAGTCATGTCTGGATTCTTTTATAGCTTTTGAGTCCAAACAAGCTCCTGACCTTGCTAACTATAGCCCAGCACCAGGAGATTTCTGACAGTATAAAATTCAAGGCCTAATCTTAAGACTATTCATGAAATTGATAACCATAAATTCCGAGATGGGCTCAGTACAACAGGACTTGGCATTTCTGGCCATTACTTCCAAAGCAAATCATATCTGTATATGAAATATAACAAATTCTGCTAGTCTGAAAGCATGTTAAATATGGCTTGTTATGTTCAGCCTTTCCACAGTGCTCTTACAAACAGGAGGTGTTCTGTTTCCATCAGACTCTGAACAAGTAAACTTAAATGTAATGATGTTACAGTCTGAGTCTTTTTGTTTTTAAAGAAAAGCAACATAAGCAACAAAAGCTTCCCTGCCTCCTTCCTGCAGTTGCTCCCACTCCATCTCTTGCTTCCATTTTCTTTCAGAACACTCTGAAACTCTCAAGCATTTTCTATAAAAGAACTTGCAGTTCTCCATAGGGATCAGGAGAGGCGTAGATGAATTTTTTTCTGGAAGGAAGCATAGGTTTTGCAGTTTCTTAGGAAAGGTGGGGCATGTGAGGGCCAAGACAGAAATCTATCATACTTGAAACAAGCTTCCCCAAAGTAATAAGAAAAACAAAACAGGCCAGGAGCAGTGGCTCATGCTTGTAATCCTAGCACTTTGGGAGGCCGAGGTGGGCAGATCACGAGGTCAGGAGATCAAGATCATCCTGGCCAACAAGGTGAAACCCCATCTCTACTAAAATACAAAAAAATTAGCTGGGCTTAGAGGTGAGGACCTGTAGTCCCAGCTACTCGGGAGGCTGAGGCAGGGGAATTGCTTGAACCAGGGAGGCGGAGGTTGCAGTGAGCCGAGATCATGCCGCTGCACTCCACCCTGGCGACAGAACGAGACTCCGTCTAAAAAAAAAAAAAAAAAAAAAAAAAAAAAAAAACAGAAAAAGAAAAGAAGAAATAATCAAAGTCAAAGTCAAAGTGATAATAAAAGTTGGAGATGGAGTTCTATTTTTTTTTTTTTTTCCAGAAACTGCCTGTGTTCTCTGACCTATTAGTGCCTGGATATTCATAGACC